GTTCTGTATAACGTGATCTCATGTTAGTTTGTTCCCTCGTAGAGGCCCGCAAGTTTAGAGGAAAGAGTTCTGTTTAGAGACTTAGTCCCTTGAGGGCTATCATGGCTATCTGTCAGCCCAAAGGCTTCAATCCGCCTGGCTCCATGGCAAGATGGGCAATCTCCTCTCTGTAATTTACAGCCTGAGCCCCCCCTGGAGGCTCTTTCTGACTGTGATGAGCCATAATGAGGAAGGCTGGATGTCTTAGTTTAACCTGCAATATTTATTGGCAATGGAAATTTTTAAACACAGATAATGTAAGTAAGTGCCATGATCTGTAATAGAGACATTCAGGAATTTATAGACACTTTTGCAGCATCTGTTGTTTCAAAGCCTTTTTGAAAAGTCCCCAGAGGGAATGTGTTTTGGAAGTTTGCAAAGAGCTGTTGGAAACTTGAACATCTTCCTGTAGAAAGGCTAGTTTCCAGGCTAGATTTGCTAAAGCCTTGTCAGTTTGTGTATGACATCTGTGGTGGTGGCTCGCTGCCCTCTATCCCTCGAGTTGCTGCCATCTGCAGAGGCTGTCAGTCTTTGAGGAGGAGACTGCCCGGCGTTTCTCATGCAGAGCTGGCACTGACAGATGGTGCTCCACCAGAACTCCTTAATCATAACAGTAGCTGTTTGAGTGTATGCGGAGGCACAAGAAAAGAAAGCAGGCAGTTTCCTTCCTCTTTCCTAGTACGTGGAGGCTTAGCTGTTGTAACCTTCCCTTTTTTGGCTCCTCCTTTAGGTCCTGAGATGTCTCCCCTCCACCCCTTCCTAGTTGCCCCTCTGGTGGCTCCTCACCAGGCTCCACTTCCTCCCTTTCCTGGGCTCCGCCCCCCACTTTCACCCCACCTTGTTCATTTATTGCCTGGTAGCTATCTCAGGTAGGGTAGGGCCTGGGAAGAAAGCAGCTTCTTGTACCTGAAATGTTAGTTGGCATCTTCTAATCACCAGTGCATGCATTTCCTTTCATCTCCCAGCTGCCTCCTGCATATCTAAACCAGTGATGCTCATTAAAGTTTTTCTCAGGTGATTATCAGTGAAGCAACATGGAGCTTAGGAAAGACTTGTTCTGCGGGGGTGGGTAATCCTGCCATCTCAAGTTCCTCCTGCTTGGTGATGTTGTGGTGGAGCAGGCCTTGACCAGCCTGTGTGCATGCATGTTTGGGTGACATACTGAGAATTGCTTGGTCGGTGGTGACATAGTGACCAGCAGGCATGCTGTCTGCCTCTTGGGCTCAGCCCCAGCTTGTTTCTTCAGCTGGAGACCCTGGGTGTGCCCAGAAAGTGGAATGTCCTGGCCAGTGGAGGAAGAAACATTGCTGCCTGCATGCCGGGAGTGCCCAGATGTTACTCAAAACCGGGAGCACTCCATTTTGGGAGGAAAGGCTGATTACGAGTTGGCTTCCCAGGTGAAGTTTTGATTTACTGGAAGAGAATACGTGGGACTGGGTAGGAGAAGGGAGCTCTGGTGACTTAGTGATAAGAAGTTGTGCTGGCCGCCATTTCAGTCACGTGGAAGTGCAGCCACCAGGTGGGAGTCCCGGAGAGGGGGAAGTCGCGTTCACCGTGGATGGTGCCACTGCTGTCATGCCGTCTTCGCCGCTGTGGGTGGTGGTGGTGTGCTCGAGTAACCAGAACCAGAGCATGGAGGCACACAACATCCTCAACAAACGAGGATTCAGTGTGCGCTCCTTTGGGACAGGGACACATGTGAAACTCCCAGGACCAGCCCCAGACAAGCCTAATGTCTACGATTTCAAAATGATCTTCTTACGAAAGACAAAGAACTCAACACACAGAATGGAATCTTACACATGTTGGATAGGAATAAGAGAATCAAGCCTCGACCAGAGAGGTTCCAGAACTGCAAAGATCTGTTTGATCTGATCCTCACCTGTGAGGAGTGAGTCTATGACCAAGTTGTAGAAGATTTGAATTCCCGGGAACAGGAGACCTGTCAGCCAGTGCATGTCATCAACGTGGATATCCAGGACAACCAGGAGGAGGCCACCCTGGGGGCCTTCCTTATCTGTGAGCTGTGCCAGCATATCCAGTACATGGACGACATGGAGAACGAGATGGACGAGCTGCTACAGGAGTTAGAGAATAAGAGTGGCCAAGCCTTCCTGCACACTGTCTGCTTCTACTGACTGGAGGCCCCAAAGCCAGGCCTTTCTGCACGGAGTCTGTTTCCACCGACTCGGCTCCATGGACTCTTGCCACCTCGGTGCTCCCTTTGTGAGTACTTCTTGATTTTCTTTTTAGTTATAGGTATACTGCCAGTGTGCGGTAGGATTACCAAATAAATTGTACATATTAAATGAGAAGATATACATAAATGCCATATTAAAAACAATCAAGTTTTTTCACTATCCCACTTGTACATAAGTGGGATATTGGTTATACAGATTTCCCCCCCTTAACAAAAAAAAAGAAGAAAAAAGAAGGGGAGAGGTTCTACAGCACTTCTCCTCACTGTATGTGTCTGTAGTTGTGTAAGCCTTTATCCCTCACTGGCTGGACTGTATTAATACCCGAATAAAATGATGGACTGTTGTTGAGTTGGGACTCCAGAGAGTTTGATTGTTCTTAGGAACCAGATTGTTATTGCCGATAAGTGAGTTGCAAGTGACCCATAGTGACCCTATGAAGGAGAGTCCTCAACGCTTGGATGTCTTTCATCCTTTCTCCAGGTTCATAGGGTTCCCAGAGGCAAGCTATTATGGAAGTGGATGCCACTCCTCCTTCCAAGCTTGTTTTAATCCTGGAGCTCCACTCCGCTCTCTGTCCACATTGGGTAGGCAACCATTAACACATTTGACACATCAGAGTCACAGTGTTCAGCCTCACAGCAACCACAAGTGACCGCTGTACAACAACTTGTACACCAGGGCTATACAACTTATAGGAATGTCTGAACAAAAACAAAGACAGGCCCAAGGGCCGCGGATTAAAAGTCACCCACCTTTGGCTTGGTAGCATTGCTTTCTGTCCATTGGGCCAGCTGATCTCTCTCTCTCTCTCTGTTGATGTTATTGTTAAGTGCCTTCGAGTTGAGTTGCAGAAGACATAGCGACTCTATGAAGGAGAGACCTCAACGCTTGGGTCTTAGGAACCATTGAGTCAAGTATAACTCATCATGACTCCATAAAAAGCAGATTGGAATCCGGTCCTGTCCTGTGTCATCCTGACAATCTCTGACACATTCAGGCTCATTGCTGTTGTCACTGTACTCACTGTGTCCTCTCTTTTGTCATTGACTCACCTTCCCAAGCATGATGTCCTTCTCCAAGGACGGGCCTCTCCTAGCAACATGCCCAAAGTGTGAGATGAAGCTTCATCATCTTTTTCTCCAAAGGGTACTCTGGCTCCCCCTTCTCCGAGACATATCTGTTTGTTCTTTTGACAGTCTGTGGGATATTCAGTACTCTTCTCCAGTACCACAGTTTGAAGGCATTAAATTTTTGTATGTAATCCTTATTGAATCCTTATTGATGAAGGCAGAAGTTCAAGCTGCTTTGAAGGAAATAGCAAAAAATAAGGCCCCCGGAATAGATGGTATACCAATTGACATATTTCAGCTAACAGATGCTGCCCTGGATGTGCTCACCAAGTTGTGCCAAGAAATCTGGAGAACAACCACTTGGCCAGCTGACTGGAAGAGGTCTATATTTGTTCCCATCCCAAAGAAAGGTGACCCAACTGAGTGTGGAAACTATAGAACAATATCATTGATTTCACATGCAAGCAGGATTCTACTGAAGATTATCCAAAAACGACTGGCACAGTACATCAGCAGAGAACTGCCAGAAGTCCAGGCTGGGTTTAGAAGGGGTCGTGGTACTAGGGATATTGTAGCTGATGTTAGATGAATCTTAGCTGAAAGCAGAGAATACCAGAAGAATGTCTATATGTGTTTCTGAGGGAAGCTGAATATCAAATTTAATAATAGACCAAATGCTGAATCGGGAAATGAGTGAAGCTTAATACAAGCTAAAGGTCACCTTGTGGCACTGGGGCGTTCCCTAGGAGTCAACATTGTTCTTAGTTTGTGTCAAATGAATCCTTCCCTCTTGAGATTAGCATAAAGATTAACTTGGCCTTATCTGTAAAAGACTTCACCATTATCCTTTGTTTTTGTTTTGTAGTTCCTTGTGATTTTACTTTGTTTACCTTCCTTATGATTCTAAATAAATACTCAGAGAAGCATGGCTTGGGGCCTTCAGTCATGGGAACTGTTGGTCCCCTGTTTTTCACACTCTCTGTTACATATATATTTATATGTATTATATAAATAAATAAATAAACAAACAAACAAATAAATAAATAAATAAATAAAGAAGTTGTGCTGCAATCCCAAAGGCAGGCAGTTTGAATCCACTAGCTGCTGCACAGGAGAAGGATGCCCCCTCCCAATTTGTTGTTCACTGAAGATTTGGAATGACTTTTCTCATTGGTGAGGTGCAGTGAAGGTAATTATATGTTCTTGACTTTCCCAGTCCATTTCATTATTTTCACTGTACGTGATTGCAAAAAGATAAAGGCATTAAAAAAAAGAGCCTTTGTAAAGACACGCACATTTAAAATCAGAAAATATGTTCTGAGTTTTGATTAGCAAGACGTATGGTAGGGTGGGTATCATGTCAGCACCTTTAGCTGCTGCAGTTAAGCCTTCATGCCATTCCTTGGCACAGACACAGTGACTCCAGGTGAGACGTGAGACAGCAAGGAGAACAAGCCCCACGTTGTCCTGGCGCTGCCATTCCTTGCAGTTCAGACAAAGCGCTTTATATTCCTCGTCTTTAAAATGAGCAGCGGGACCCCTCTCCTTCAGAGGCCTGTCTGGTCCCAGAGTCTTGGCCAGTGTGAATTAGTGCAACGTTGTACCTCTGCAGTACCTGAGAGAAGCTTGCAGGCGTGTGTGTGCTGACTCTGCTTTTACCCTCCAGGACTGCTCGGGCTGACTTTAGAGAATGCCAAGCAGGAAGTTTGCCGATGGGGAGGTGGTGAGAGGCCGCTGGCCTGGGAGTTCACTTTATTATGAAGTAGAAATCCTGAGCCATGACAGCAGCTCCCAGCTTTACACCGTCAAGTACATAGACGGCACGGAGCTCGAGTTGAAAGAGAACGATATCAAGGTAAGAAGGACTCCTTTCTTGTTCTACCGCGTATTTAAGTGGGGAGTCGGCCTCCCCACTTTTCTGACTGGAGATACAAGATCCCGCGCCTGCTAGTCCAGATGCAGTTTGGGTGTGGGGCTGTAGCAGGTACAGACTTCCCGAGGAAGCTCAAAGCAGCAAGGGCGGCAGACAGACACTTAATTGGCTGTTTCCCTGGGCTAGATTGCCTCTGCTGGAAGCCGGTCTGCCGTGGTGGTTGGGGGAGGTCAGGAAGGGCGGTGGGTTGTGCTGTTGGCTCCCAGCGCCAAGAGTTGGCTCAGAGCTAAGAGTTCAGGGCAAGGACCAAAGACTCAGTCTGCAGGGCCCACATAAGCAGAGGCCAGGAAGACAAAGGCTGTGGGGGGTTGGAGGGGTGGCAGGAGCCCAGACTCCCAAGTGTACGAAGGATGTGGTTGGAAGTGATGGCCAGGAGGTGAAGCTGGAACCAGGATGAGGGATGTGAGGTCTCTGTCCCCTGACCGGGGTCTTGGGTGTCAGTCTGAGGGCAACAGTATTAACCAAAAGGTGACATTAATTAAAATCTAGTCCTGAATTTTTCAGCCTATCTGATGAGGTCCTGGTGGTATACAGATAGGTGAAATACCACCGAAATGAAACACTAGAAAGATGAAGGAGAAACGAAAAGACATACAAAAGGAGCATATACTAGATTCAGCATGCTAGAAAACTCATAAAGGACTGATCGACTGATCTCAGTCTCAGGCCTTGCTGTGGATCCAGAGCAAACCGGTCTGTGGGCTAGTGAATGGCCTCGTCCAGAGATGGACACATTTTTTGAGTGATAGATCAGATGGCCGGTGTTTTAGGTGTTGTGAGCTGATGGTCTCAGCAAAGCCGAGCATGGTTTCCTGTTTGTGCATTCCTGCTCTGCCTTGTAGTGGGCAGCAGTACCAGATAATAATATATTAGGAATGAGCATGGCAGTGTTCCAGTCACGCTTTGTCTGTGAACACTGACATTTGAATTTCATAGAGTTTGCAGATGTTACCAGAGGGTATCTCACTTGAGGCTGGGCTAAGGTCTGATCTTGGCTGCCCACCCTGGTCTAGTGCATCAGTACAGAGTGCGGGTCGGGGTGAAGCTGGCCAAGGTCAGGTGTGTGGGAGATGGTGAGACTGGTTCAGGTTAGGAAGAGGTCAGATACTGTGCGTAAGGTTGCTGTGAGTCGCAGGCCACTCGACGGCACACGACGACAAGAAGGGGAGGGCAGAACATTACGAAGATTTGGAGATTTTTACTTTGGTTTCAAGGTCTGTGGCTGTACTTTAATAGAGTGAAGCTGAGTGGTTTTGATTTTGTTTTTAATTGCTTGTGGGCTAATTTCTCTTGGCCTACTTCCATTTTTATCAATGTTAATCACAACTCTTATATACAGTCTTGGAAGGAGATGTAACTGGTTAGCTTAGACACGCTCATTCATGGAAAAAGTGAGGGCAGGCCATTGGGCATGTTGTCAGGAGCTCCTGCGGTGGCTCTGGGGTGCAGGGACAGTGCAGGAGCCGGGCAGCCATTGTTGGCTTTGTGTCCTCTTCTCGGGGTGTTTGTGGTCTGTGGTCAAGCCTTTTGTCTCCTTCCACTCTCCAGCCTTTAACTTCCTTTCGGCAAAGGAAAAGCGGCTCTTCCTCCAGCTCTCCCGCCAGACGCCGAGGGAGTCGCTCCCGGTCACGCTCGCGGTCCCCAGGCCGGCCACCGAAGGGCTCCCGCCGCTCCGTCTCTGCTTCCCACCAGGGCAATGTGAAGGAAACCAAGAAGGAGATCCTGGAAGTTAAATTGACACCACTGGTGTTGGTACTTACCTTTTGGAGTTCTTTTTTCGAGTCTCCTAGCCATCCTCTATGTACCTACTTGCTCAGATTATTTGCTGTTAACATTATAATGCCATTGAAAAACCACATCCAAGGTGGAAGATTACAGTAAAATAATATATTATTCAGAAGAATACAAACTAGAATTCTTTTACGTGCCAATGAAATAGAATGTTCCTGAATTACCTGAAGTACTACTTAATTGTCCTTAAAACGTAGTGTTTCAAATTGAAGTAGACATAGGGTATAGTAGTCGGTTTTGATAGTCACCTCTGTTTTTACCAAGTTATGGTTCTTACATTTCAAATGTTTTCTGTTCTTCACCTTAGAAGCCATTTGGAAATAGCATCAGCAGACACAACGGGGAGCCCGAACACATCGAGAGGAATGACATCCCGCAGCCTCACAGAAGTGTGCAGGTGAGGAGCACTCCTGCCCTACTACAGAGTGTCACTCATCTTGCGTCTCCCTAAGAACTTATGCCCGAAAGCTCTTAGGAGGCCACGGAGGAGTGACTAACCACCAGAGCATCGAGTTAGTGCTTGTTGAAAGCGTGAAACGCAGGTTCACCCATCCCTACTTGAGTCATTTAATGACAAGTACACTTGAATGCAATTTAATAAATTGATTCTTGCCATTAACAGCTATCTTGAGATGCATAATGAATTAGTGTAGGTAACATTAGTGATAATGTTTGTGTTTTTTTGGTTGGTTTTTTTTTAACTAGGAAAAATTTCATTTGTCACAAGATAGTGGTTATACATCTACACAGTATACCCTTCGTCCAAGAAGAGAAGAGATCAAATTTAAAGAAATGGATTCAAAGGAAGAAGAAGCTGTTTTGAAGAGACCTGTGGCATTGAGAGCCGCTGAAGGGCCAGCCATGCAGGCGAAGGATTTAGAGTTTGGAGGAGTCCCTGGTAGGCCTCCATGCTGGCTAAGCGTGGGTGGGCGAGGGCAACAGATGTATGGAGAAGCCATGAGGAGACAAAGGGATGAGCCAGGTGGACACGGGCAGAGCCTCTGGTGTGCAGGTCGGCAGGTGCAAAGGTGGCAGTATTTGTCACCTTTTCTTTGGACTGACAGTGTCACTGGCAGAATGTCAGAGTCAGCATCCTGCTGGTAGGATTTTGCAGAGAAGTGATAGGAAAGCCCTGTGAGCTGGGAATAGGAAGAGGGGTGACTGAGGGAGGAGGAGGGAAAGAGGACCAGGGCCTGGCATTTGGGTTTGGTGGTGCTGACAGGCCAGTTCCCATTCATGTTGCTCCTGAGGGACAGAGCAGGACTTGCCCCGTAGTTTCCAAGAGTGGACATCCACTGCCACATCTTTCTCCCTCAGAGCAGCTGGTGGGTTTGACCCAGATCAAGAGCTGAGCATGCTGTCCCACTACAGCTCCGTGCGATGGCCAGTAGCTGTGGGAGCAGTCTTATCTTATCCGGGGCCAGTGTCTGCCCTGTCTGTGGACAGCTTTATCGCAGGGGATGAAGATGGGAAGTGTTCTAGTGTCTGGGGTGGAACTGGTGACATTTTACGAGCTAGTAAATGAAAATGTGTCTTTATCAAATGATTTGAAACCCTCCATGGTTTTGTGTTATGTGACCACCCTAGTTAGCTGGTGTGAGTGTTGGGGTCCATCAGCACCATTTAAAAATCTCTCTTTCTGTGTGTGTTATATCATTGTGATACTGTTACAATTGTTAGAGACTTGAAGGTGTACAGCTTTTTTCTTTAAAGATGAGACTGATGGTTGCTTGCTGCTCTCTGATTGTAGTCAGCTGGAATTTCAGCAGTTCCTCCTCCCAGGGCCTCAGTAAGCCTTGTGGGGCACACCTCCTCAGGTGACTTGAGCTTTACTGGGTTGGGTGTCTTCGCATCTTCTCACTTAATTTGTGTGACTGCTGATCTCCCTGGGTTCACAGGGAGATTGATGGTACAGTTGAAGTTGGTTTCAGACAATTCCCAGACTTGAGTTCTGCCTTTTAAAAACCCCAGCTGAGTCTTCTTACTAAACCAGTTGACCTGGCTTGGAATTTGGCTGTCTGCAGGTGTGTGCCTCCTCATGCTGGGCCTGCCCGTCTTCCTCATCCTCTTGCTGTTGATGTGCAAGCAGAAAGACCCCAGCCTTCTCAGCTTCCCTCCTCCGCTACCGTCTTGGTCTGAGTTGTGGGAAACCAGAGTGTTTGGAGCCTATCTTCTCTGGTTTTTCCTTCAGGCTCTGTTCTACTTGCTGCCAGTTGGAAAGGTAAGCCTCTGATAGCAGGACGTGGTGCTGTGAGCTTTCCTCCCCTCTTGGGTTTGTAGAACTGAGTTTGCAGTAGCTTTAAGGACAAGCAGTCCGTGGTCTTTGCTAGCAAGTACACTTGGTTTTCATGAGCCACTTGCTTAATGTAACCAAGCAGGAAAGAATAAGCTTTCAAAGGATCAGTAGACAGGTGCTGAAATCAAATGGACTTTATCTTTTACTTTTAGATGGTGTAGGTCTTTTAATTTCCATTTCTCAGGAATGTTTATTAAAGTGTTTTTTATTTTTTCCTTTTTTTTTTTAGTCTCAAGGATTTGTCTTAGCATTTTTCACTATTTCTTAGCATCTTTTGCTTCTTTGAGTGGAATAACTTGGATGCATTGTAAGGAACATGAGCTTTCCTGATTAATCAATAATTTATTTAAAGATCTTACTTGTTGGGCTTTGCAGGTTTACCAGCTGCCCTTAAACTGGGGCTCAGCTTTACATGGCATGGTGAGTGAGGCCAGGGAGGACAGAGCTGTCTGTTCAGAGTACTAGCATTGTTGTCCTGGGTAGGGACTTTTGTGGTGTGGACTGTCAGACATTTTTATGGTGAGGCTTCATAGTAAAAAAAAAACCCAAACCCCTCAATTTAGATTAACTTAAGGTAAGCAAGTTCAAAAACTAGATAGTATTTATTAGGAAAAGCAGTATTGACAGATAACAAACATGTTTTACATTTCCCCTCTGGAGTTCTCGGTTGTTTTTTTTTTTTTTTAAAAAAAAAATTTTATTTTATTATTTTGTGTGTGTGTGTGTGTGTGTGTGTGTGTGTATATTGTCAAATCACATCTGACTGGTATAGGAGGAGATTGTCCCTCCTTCTCCAGCAGAGCATCTGGTGGATTTGAACCGTTCACCTCGGGGATTGAAGTGCAGCTTCTTGCCACTAGACCACCATAGCTCCCTGGAGTTCTCTTTTATAGCTAGTGAATGGCTAAAGTAGTTTAGCTCAAGACAAATGATACCACATTAACATGTTGCAGCTTAAAATGTATTACTCACTTCTACATAGTTGTTTGCGGAGCAAAATGTGGCTGCTGCTGGTCAAGTGACCTTTAAATTTCAGCTGGTCCAGTTCAGGTTGTATGAGCACCTGTCATGTGTGCTAAGAGGTTTATGTGATGTCAGCAGAAGAGATGAGCTGGCCGTGGAATGGTCAAATTGGAGGAGGAGTGTCGACAGAATACACATCATCACAAAACACATGGGCTAACCGGGCCCCTTTGGACCTCACAAATGAAGCAGTGAGAAGTTGCTGAAGAAGGTCCTGAGCTAGGTGGCAAGTAGCTAGGAAGGCCTTGTGGGGTGTGAAGGTGTGCGGGCCACAGGGTGGTTGGTGGGGTTGCGGTGGGTAGTCTCAGTATGCAGAGATGGGATACTCAGTTTGTAGTTCAGATGAATTTCTGAAGGTGTGATTACTTTGTCAAAGAGTTTAATATTAAAGGGCTTTTGAAACATGCTTTTGAATTATTCCTCTGATCTTTTTGGCCATGTGAATGTAAGTAATGACAGAAGACGGTGTCTGTGTGTCTATATTGTGTCTGTATGTTGGTGATGCTGTTGATGTTGGACCTGTAGATTGATACGGTGATAAAGCATACTTTTAAAATTCTTCGTTTTTCTTTTTAAGGTGGTAGAAGGAACACCTCTTATTGATGGACGAAGACTCAAGTATAGAATAAATGGTGACTACTTTTTTGTCTTTAAGAACTCAAAATTGTTGACTGGATAGCTTAAACCTTCCTGAGCTACACTGTTGTAAACTGTCAGTGTTAATTGTAACAGCAGCCACCTGTCAGCAGTCTGAGGGGCTCCATTGAGAAGTTCCATGCAGCCGGAAGCACAGGAGCAAGACCCACAGGCCCTCTTCCCTTTATGTTGTTTCCTCAGTAACTGTGCTCAGTCGGCAAGAATTCTGTCTGCTGATTTCTTCCTCCTGAGTCACCCCATGGCCCAGGTGGGCTTTAAGGCCTGTGCGTCTTGGGGGAAGAGTGACACCCCATCCTCACTCTTTTACTCTGGCCATCTGGCTGTGGTACCTGTCTCCTGAGTGTTACCCTCTCTTCTCAGGGCTTTGCCTTGGGGACAACTGGCTCCCTCCCCTCTGTGCTGTCTTTTCAAGGAATCCTCCACGTTGCTTCCTCTGTTTATCATCTCTGGGCAGGTTGTGCCCCTCATGCCAGTGTAATTGTGTTGTAGATTTAAGTCTACAGTGTCGTCTTGTAGACTGCCGTTGGCCATGGTCCTTGTCCCGCCCTGTGCTGGGATGGTGAGGGTACAGCAGACCCTCAGTAGGTGCATATTGAATGAGAAGTTGGGTGGCCCTTCAGGACCTCTCAGGAAATGGGCAGATATGGCTCCTCTTCTTGCTCTAAGCCCTTCCCGGGCAAGGAGGATGTGCTACAGGGATCTGCCTGCATTTGCTCTCTGAGGACCTTAACGTTTAGTAACTCTATGTACTGTTTTCCTGAAATCACTTTCCATTTTACTAAATTGAGCAGTTTCCCCCTTTTTCTTGATGATTATGATTTTTAATTCTTTACCATATTCTTACCTTTCTTTCTAACTTTGGGATACTTTTTGTCTGATAACTTATCTTGCATCCACCTTGATCGATAGATAATTGGCCTACCTTGGAGCCAACAAGTACCAAGTACTTAGATGGTTCTGCCTTTCAGTGTAAAATGAGCAGACATCTGCCCCGGCTCTGGGCCCGACCATTAGTGGGTGTGTCATTCTTTGCCGCTATGGTCAGATTTTTTTTTTATCATTTTACTGAATTTCATAGCTTTGGTGGTGAAGCAGTAGCATTGTCGGGCACATGTTTCTATCTGGTTGTGTCCCATGCACCTTCCATGCAGCGGACAGCCCGGGTAGAGGCAGCTTGCTACCTTGCCACCAAGTCTTCTGATGATAGTGTCTGTGGGTTTGTGGCATAGTGGTGAGCATTTGTGCAGCCAACCCAAAGGCACATGGTCAGAATCCACCAGCTGCTCTGCAGGAGAAGAATGGGCTTCTCCTCCCATGTGATTTACTGCCACTGAAAACCTTCTGGAGGGTCAGCTAGGAGTCCATTCTAACTTGATGCTACAACGTCAAGCAAGGTTTCCCTCGAAGGGGATCTGTCTGTGTCTCTTCTCAGTTGGCCTGTCTGCTTATTTGATAGTTGTTTGAGATGGGTTGACACTCAGAAACCTAGTAGAATGTTTGGACAAGGAGCTGTTAGGATGGACGAGAACTCGGCTAGTTGCTTGAGCCTTTTCTTTTACGAAATGAAAATTTCCTTATCCAGTTACTCTGATCCTAGCCTGAAGAGGTTTATTTTAATGAGATATTTATCCTTATAAACTATAGATTTCTAAGAAATGCTAATCTTTTTTTGTTTTTAATAAGCTAGAGATCAAAAACAGCTTTATCATTCTTTTTCTTTCCTAAATTTTATGAATGTTATACAAGTATATTAAAATGTTAAAATTAAAAATGTTAATACTCTTGGGAGTAAACATGAGTCAAAAAACACCATGTAAAGAATCAAAATATTAGAGGCAGATGAGTGTTTTTTTAGAATTCTTACAAATAATAGCTACGACTTTTCTGGGCTTCATGGCTTAGTCAGATACAATTTGGTGGCTTGCTCTTGTAGTCACTCAGCTCCAGGAAACCAAATGATTTCCTTAGCCAAAGGAAAAGTGGATCTTCTCCTGCGCCTCTTTGTAATAGTCAGTGTTGGCAAGGCTGGGAGAGAAGGAAGTCCCCTGAGGGACCTTGAAGGAGTCACTAGAGTTAATGTGAACGACTTGAGCACAGCAAGCGCACCACACAATGCATACACTGTCTGGTGACCGCCTTTCTCCCTGCCTGTGAGGAGTGTTGATCCTGTGGTCTCTGCACTTAGGGGGCTGTGCCTGCCATGGTAGACTCACTACGTTATTGGAAAATGTTATTGACAGATCTGGTAGAAAGGATAACCATCCTCTTAGGTAATGGCATTTAGACTAAAGTGTGCATTGGCCCACTGCTCTTAATAACCTGGCTTCCGGCCTGAAAGTTTGCATTATGTGAATTTGAGGTTCTTTTGAGAATTGACTCATTCAAAGTAGTGAATATTTATGCTTTCGTTTTTAATTGTCCCATATCTAAAGAAGGTTATGTCCATTCACAATGAAAAAGATAAATACATTAAAATATTTGAGAAATTGTGTGAGAGATGCAGTATCTACACTGAAGATTATATCTTGATATTACATGTTTGCATATCTGTTTATATTTGATCCGAATAATAACTTTCAAACTTTAAATATCCATCTGATTTATATTGGTGTGAATTCTGCATGATGTCTTGATTAACATTTTATGTTTCTCTTTCTTTCTCAAGGGTTCTGTGCTTTCATCTTGACATCTGTGGGCGTTGGGGCGTCCCTCTTCTGGGGCGTGGACCTTCACTATGTTTACGCCCATTTCCTCCAGTTGGCGCTGGCAGCCATTGTGTTTTCTGTGACCTTGAGTGTTTACCTCTATGCTCGCTCTTTGAAAATGCCCAGGAAGGAACTGTCCCCTGCCAGCTCTGGTGAGCTGTGTTCAAGGCGTGAATGGGTGGATGCAGTCCCGAGCCGACCTGGGGACCTGAACTTCAAAACCAAAAAGATGAAGAAACTGTTTTAAAATTAATGAAAAGGAAAACATTTCTTTCTCCTTACATTTTCATGCTATTTCCCCCTTAGTTATTTGGTGACAATAAGACGTATAATAGAGGTATCATAAGTTGTGACAAATATTTTTGTCCCTAATTTTCTGTCTATAATGGCTTTCTATAAAAACATGCTAAACAAGCCCTTAAAAAAACAGGTTGATTTTGGCCTGGAGTATTCAAACCTTTTAAGAAAAAAAAACAAACCAAGATGTTTATTTAAAAATGTATGAGCCTGAAGTTCTAAAAATTCTAGTTTTCTCTAAGTTGGGACAAGTACAGGCCTGCCTGTCCCCATGGCTTCTGCCGCTCCAGGGGGGCAGTGAGTGTGCTGGTGGTCCTTGGCTCCCTCCTCTTGCCTCTTACTGTGGCCTTTCCTTCTTAACAGCTGGCTCCTGTCAGCGACTGCCGGGCCCCTGGTGAAGAAGTGGTTAAAGCCTCACTTGCTGCCTGAGGGGTTGGGGATTCATACCCACTGCTGCAGCCCTAGGTGGGGAGGGTGGTCAGTCGGTTCCACTTAGACTGCTGATAAGAGTGTGGAGGAAGGTCAGTCATCACTCAGCAGAGTGCTTCCACAGAGAATGCTGTTAAGAGCTGCCCAATTGGGTTTCGACTCCCATGACAGGGTCTAGTATCTTCTCAGCTTATGGGGATTCTTATGGGGATAGACCACTAGTTCTTTGCGCTCACAGGGCTCACACTCACCAGCCAGGTGCTCCACTGCTCCTGGGGGCCCCTCTGTGAAGAGCAGGCTTCTGTGTGCCCTGTGGGGTCTCCATGAGTTTGAATAGACTCAGCTGCAGTAGCCTATTCTTTTAATGGTTTGGCAATTGAGGTGGAGAGGACAGTATAATTTTAAAACCTCATGATTGTGTTTAGAATACATTATGGTAAAAATTTTTCCCTTCTCAGGAAATGCTATCTATGATTTCTTCATTGGCCGTGAATTAAACCCTCGGATTGGTGCTTTTGATCTCAAATATTTCTGTGAATTACGCCCTGGATTGATGGGATGGGTATGTCTTTTTAACTCTGTAGTATATGTGACTCTTGCATTTAAAAATACCCTGTAGACTTAAATAAACAGTGAGTGACATATTTTTGGAATAATGATGGCTTTCTATAAATGTGCCCACTCAAACCAAAGGCTTCTCATGCTACAAATATAGTCTAGAGTTGTTTTGCTTGTATCAGTTTAAGAGGAAAATTATAATAGAGATTAGTAATTAGATATATCTATAGGAGCCCTGGTGGCCTAGTGGTAAGCAGCCTTGCCATCAACCCAGAGGCACATGGTTCGAGTCCACCAGCTGCTCCACAGCAGAAAGATAGGCAGTCTCCTCCTATGCGGTTTACTGTCTTAAAAATGCACTGGTGGGTCAGCTGTCTGTTGGTTTTGACCCAATGGCATACAACAACATTATATAATGCATAGGTAATATATTGCTGCTGTTATATGCCATCGAGTTGGATGAGCCGACCCTCTAGTGTGTTCTCAGACGCAGGAAGTCACATGGGAGGAGACTGCCCATCCTTCTGTTTCAGGCAGTTAGAGGATTCGATAGGTATGCCTCTAGCTGGGCAGCATAGCTCCTTGCCACTAGGCCACCAGAACTCTCTGTAGAGTATATATAATGTAAAGATATTATGTATATGAGAAAAAAATGCTTTTTCTCCCCCTTTAAAATATTTTACTTTGAACCAGTCATAGAAAAGTTGTAGAAATAGAGTGGAGAGTTTCCTTATCGCCCTTACTGTTTCCCCTGTAGTTCACGTCTGGCATAATAGCTATAGCAGAATTTCTAAGAGCATCTCATACACATTGGTGTACTAGGAATGACTGCAAATGAGTTCTAAGGGTGTCTTTAAGTTGAATTTGCATTTAAATTGATACAGTTTAGGTATGGTTTGAATCTAGCATCATTTAAGTCCCCTGTTTGTTTTAGTGTATTTTAGTATCCATAATACATCCATTCCTCACTTACAGGCATGATTGTCTTGTGAAAATTGGCATTATGCAAAAATGGAGAGCAACCACATCAGATCATCACTTGAGGATGACTTTCTGATATAAGTAGAAAGCTGACAAGTCTCATCATCACATAGCTTCAGAATCACTGCCATCAGGGCTGGGCCATATTGGCCTGTGATCTTGAAACCTCCTCAGCCACTGTGACCCTTGCTTTCCCACCTTCATGCTTAAATGCTTGTCAGATATTTGTCATTAATGTGAAGAATAATCTGATAGTAGATTTTTTTTTTTTGCTATTTTAAATATGAAATGCTGGATAATGAGATAGTGAGGTAGGAAAGAAACTTTCTATGCAAAAATAAAATAATTCCAAATTCCACTAACACACCTTTAACAATAATAATGTTTTGTTGTGTGTTGCAAAGTAGCACTTGTTTGTTATTACAAACCATTGTATGTGCTTCAGAATTTTTATGGAATATGCTTTAAGGATCTAGCTTTCAATTATGAGCTGTAAGCTGGGTATTTGTAAATTGCAGGCTTCCTGTAGCACTGTGCTAACTAAACCCACAGACCATATATGAATTTCCAGTTTTTCCCAAATTTTGTCCTTTTTCTTTCCCTTTTAAGATCTCCCCATGCCTTGGGCCACTCCTTGTTCTCAGTTTTGCCGTGGGCTGTAAGGGTTCCTTGGTCCCTTGCCCCCTGTCGGAGGATCGCCTCAGAGGAGCACTGGGTCTGGGGCTTTCGGGTGCTTGTTGTGCATGTACACACTTTGAGTAAGAGCTCCATGGAAATGGCCAGGGGCCCTTTCTGTGCGTCCTGCCAGGCACCTCCCGGTACTTACTTCCTTATCACTGTTGGGTTCTGTGTGCAAAGTGGTGCTCACCATTTGCTCAGCAATGAAGTGACTGTCTTTCCCTTTGTCATTGCGCAGTGTCACTGCAGAGGTAACTTAAACTCCTTTCTTTTCTTTTCAGGTGCTTATTAACCTGGCGATGCTTTTGGCTGAGATGAAGTTACACAGTCGTGATACTCCATCCTTAGCAATGATTTTAGTTAACAGTTTCCAGCTGTTATATGTCGTGGATGCGCTTTGGAATGAGGTAATTTGAGAGCACAGGGAACCAGATTGCTGTGTGTGAGAGTGTGTGGGTGCGTGCACACTTCCTTTCAAAAGTTCTGCATGTGAGGCTCATTGGGACAGTCCATGGAAAGTGTGTAGTTCGCACATAAGAAACCGTGGTATCTGTTGTTTTTAGAAGTTTGATAATACTTCTGTGTATACCATTTGTTCTTTTAGATGCTGAAAACTTAAGATGTGCTGATTTTAGCTTTTGATTTTGTAGTGGTGACCAATTCATGCAAATAAAAGCCATCATGTCAGTTCTTACACTATGTGAAAATGCATGGACAGGGTGGTGGTTTGGGATTTCCAGGAGGCAGCTGGTTTTTAAATAATATGGGAAATGTTCATTATTTGGTTCAAAGTACAGAGAATTCTGATCAGATATCTATAAAATCAAATCATGTAGTTTAAATAAAATGTAAGTTTCCAGCTTGTAGCTTTTAAAATATATCCAGAAGTCATTAATATTTTGTATTGATTGAATGCCACTAAGTATTTTACTGGGATTTTTGTGACTCAACAAAACTTACTTATTTTAAAATAATTTTCTTCTGCATGCCTGTTTTACAGCTACTACTTTTTTATTGTTTATGTTTATCTCTATTTAATGAGTGTGTTTTTCTTTAAATTTTAAAAGCAAAATTGGAAACACAACATTGTCACATTTCTGTCTAGTCAGTTCTTACCTTCTGTTGGTTTATGAGGCTCTGAGTCTCAACAGGAGGACAGCATCCCTTGCCCACGGCTGATTCCCCTGTGCTCTGAACCTTTATACTCATTCTGACACCAGCAGTCCTTCCCAGGGCACTCCCTGTTTCTCTTCTGGACTCAGTATTTCATGGCAGTGACCAAAGCAAGCTTACAGACCACTCTCATAATTATGGAACTTATTGTGGAAATGTAATGTGCCAATCGTGGTAATGGGCACACATGGTAGACAGTGTTGGCTGGAGCTTCCCGACTAAATCAAGCCTGGAAGCAGGAGCGGCATCCACTTCCAAAATGGCTTGCCTCTGGAAACTCTGTGTACGAACAGTGCTCGGGCTCTTCGTTCATAGGGTCGCTATGAGTCGTCTACGACTCGACGGCATTAAACAACAACAACATTGTGGAAATGAGGTTGTAATTCAAGATAATGAATGGCTCAAAATACACATTTTTCAATCAGGACAGCCTCTCTGCTGTGGTCAAAGGCAAGCCTCTCTCTGAACCTGGGCCTTCTGGCCTGGTCTCTGCTTCTTTTGACAAGTATTACAGAACCACTGTAGCTCTGTTGATAAGATAGACTGATCTGGTGACTGCAGCACCAGGAAAGGATGGGACTCTTTTCTGTTGTTCACAGGGTCTCTAGGAGTCATACTTGATGGCACCCAGTGACAGTGACCAGCCAATAAGTGTTGGCCGTAGCTCGATGGGTTGGCAAACTTCGCTCTTCAGGGAAGTGCCTGAGGGCATCCCACTCTACCAGCAAGTATTCTAAGCTATGTAATGGTTTGTTGTTGTTATGTGCTGTCGAGTCGCTTGCGACTCATAGTGACCCTATGTACAACAGCCCTAAACTCTGCTCTGTCCTGTGCCAATCGCACTGTCTCTGACACTCCGATCCCAATTATCCCAGTCACTGAATCAATCCACCTCACAGAGGGCCTTCCTCTCCTGCGCTGTCCCTCCAGCCTCCCAAGCATGATGTCCTTCTCCAAGGACCTGTCTCTCCTCACAACATGTCCAAAGTATGTTAGATGGAGCCTCAGAATCCTTGCCTCCAAGGAGTCACCCGGTTTAACCCTTTCCAGGACAAATCTATTTGTTTTCCTAGCAGTCCATGGTATTCTCAATACTCTTCTCCAGCACCACAGCTCAAAGGCATCAATTCTCCTTCTATCCTCCTTGGTCATTGTCCAACTCTCTGAAGCATAACAAGTGATTGCGAAGACCATGGCCTGTATCAGACGCACCTTAGTCTCCAGAGAGACACCATTGCTCTTCAGTACTTTGGAGAGGTCCCTAACAGCAGACTTTCCCATGGCAATGTGCCTTTTAATTTCGTGGCTGCTGGTGCCAAGACTGTTGACTGTGGAGCCAAGCAAACTAAAGCTGTGTGCAGACGGTCATTGCAAAGACAGAAGAGGAAGAAAAGACCAAAATGGATGTCAGAATATACTCTGAAAATTGCATTATAGTGCAGAGAAGCCAAAGCACAAGGAAGAATTCAAGATACTGAAGAGCTGAATAGAAGATTTCAAAAGGCAGCACAGCATGGGATGACAAAGCAAAATATTACAATGAAATGTGCAAGGAGTTGGAGTCAGAAAATCAAAAGGGCCGAACTCGCTCAGCATATCTTAAGCTCAAGGAACTGAAGAACAAATTCAAACCTCGAGTTGCTATAATCAAGGATGCTTTCGGCAGAATGTTAAATGATCCAGGAAGTATTAAAAGAAGATGGAAGGAATATACTGAGTCACTGTATCTAAAGGAATTGGAAGACACAGAATTTCATGAAACAACATATGAGCAAGAGCCTATGGTGATGAAAGAAGTAGTTCAGGCTGCTTTGAAGGAAATGGCAAAAAATAAGGCTATGTAATGGTAGTCACTTTTTAAAAAAGAAATTTATATTTTATACTGTTCTATTTACAAGGTTCGTATACATTGTTTTTCACTCTGGATCTTTACCGTTTCCTTTACCCACCCCTCCCTCTACCCATTAAATTATGTGACCCTATTATTACCCCCTCATCCTCACCTCTGCTTGCCTCTCCTCACCTTGGATTCTCATACTTGTTCTACAATAATGATCGTATATAGTATTTGTCCTTATGGGACAGAGTTAGTTAACTCAATATAATGCTCTCCAGTCCCTCCCAAGTTCGGTAATGATTTAGAAAATCCTTGCTCTTGTGTGCTGTGTAGTATTTCAGAGGTAGTCACTTTTTAATTGACATATAAATTCATGTTTTTCTGAAGACTGAGCCAAACATTTTCTTCTATTAATTAAGAGAACATTTTATTTTTGTATGTTTTCAGTCTCTTGAGAAAGTATAGCCCTAGGAGTAGAGGATTAGAGTTTGGAAATTTTGTTTCTTCTGTGTACCAGTGAGCTTTTTGAAGAAGTGACTTGGTTTTATGATTTTCTTTAGCATCTGGCTCAATACTGAGCAGCTAGCTGATGTTTTAATAACTTTGTGGTGAGGTCGGTTGGTTAGAGGTAGAGAGACTGCTGAGAGAATGACAAAGACCCTACTTCCTTTATGTCACTGACTGTCCTGGGAATGCCCTGGGCTGGGTCAGGCTACAGGTTGTGCACCACAGACCCTGGAGCTGTCACACAGGTTCCCAGGCTCATCGTGGCCGCTTCTGGTATTCCTGCAGCCACCTTCAGTTGCTCCACCTTTGCCTGGTTTGGTCTGAGATCAGGTTCAAGATCGGGAGAGCTTGTATGAGTAAGAATTGGGCACTTGGCCAAGTAGGGATGTAGAATTTGTAACTCCAGTTTTTTCCTGCTTTATAGTCTTTTTTGCTTCCTTTCTGAATAAAACGGCTTCTTTTTTTAAATTGATTGTGATATGACTCCTTTTTGGAGGTATGTGTTGTGATTCTTTTGACAACTTCCACTCTTCATAATTTCATGTCAGTGGGATGTACTGAAGCTGGAGGCAGTGTCGGGATGCTTTTGGGCCAGAACTCGTGCGTCCCCATGCCCAGCGCCCCAATCCCTGGCTCCCCACCCTCTCTGTGCTGCTACTCAGGTGCTTTCTAGTCCCAGCACATCCCCCACACGTCATTTGCCATGGGAAGTGAAGCAGACAGTGTATTGTGCTCCCAGGAACTTCCTTTTCTTCTGTGGAAAATGTATAAAAAGTCAACTTCTGATTAGAAGCTAGGTGGTTGTGCTGGGAATACAGAGTTGGCAATCTGATGTTCCTCTAGTGAACATCTATTGAATGCTAACTCCGTGGCAGGCCCTGTGCCCGGAGCTGGAGTGACAAAGATGAGACTCTCAGAGATTCTTAGTCTAGTGGAGAGGTGACTTAAAATTCTGGACAGTCACACAATTGTTTTAATATATGAGTTGGGTGGTAGCATCGGAGAAGTCCTTCTGTTGAAGAAGAAATTGGAAAAGGGCAAGGCAGTAAGGAGGAACCTGTGCAAAGGAGGCGGCCTGGGGCCAGTCAGGAGGAGGCCCGGGGCCAGTCAGGTGGGTTACTTCAGGATCCTGGAGTGAAGAGGTGGCAGGACGGCTGTGTGATTCACTTGACATTCCTTTTATAGCCCTGTCTGCCCATAGCTGTACTTAACATGAATACTGTTGGTTATTTTCTATCTTTCTGTTTCCTTCCTGTGTCTTTTAGGAAGCAGTGTTGACAACCATGGACATTATCCATGATGGGTTCGGATTCATGCTGGCTTTCGGAGATTTAGTGTGGGTCCCGTTTATCTACAGCTTCCAGGCCTTCTATTTAGTCAATCATCCAAATGAAATATCTTGGCCATTTGTTTTTGCAAGTGTCACTCTGAAACGTGAGTATTAAATTCAGCCTCTGGTTTAAATATAGGGAGCACTGGTGGCCTAATGCTGAGCTTGTATTGCTCTGCTGGCTGCTTATTTCCAGCATGCCTCTGTATGGCCATAATTAGTTCCAAGGGAAGTAATTGGTAGTAAGATTCTGCATCTTGGATAAAGAATGTTTGCTTCATACCTAACTTTTTGCGTGACTCTTCAGATAGGTAATTTTTTAATTTAATAAATGAGAAATTAGATTTGTTTTAGTGACACTTAAACTCTTATGTGGAATACATTCTGGTGGAGAGCTCTGGTGTTCTTGTGGGTAGGGAGTTGCACTGCCAACCCAGAGGCACAAGGTTCAAATCTACTAGCTGCTCCACAGGAGAAAGATGAGCAGTCTTCTTCTGTGCAGTGTACAGCCTCCGAAAATCTACTGGAGGGTCAGCCATGCATCACTTCAACTCAACAGGGGAGTGTGGAGGGAGGAAGAGAGAGAGAGATTGAATGCTTTCTGTAGACACCTTAAAAGTAGGTAGATAAATCATCTTCACAGAGCTAACTTTCTGGAAGGGAATCCAGACTCTCAGGTACATGAAGGAGGCACATAAATGAGCATAATAGAGGGGCTTACAGACCGTATATGGGAGCTAACGGCAGGGAGAGGAAACTCGTTTCTGGAGTATCCGTATTGTTGATGTAGAAAGAGACAGTATTTGAGCTGAGCTTGAGATTTCAGTAGGTGACGATGGGGTGGGGAGAGAGGGAATCCCAGCTCTGAGAAGAGCTGGACCTGGGTGGAGTACTGGCTAGTGGAAGGCGTGTATGTGAACCAGCGAGGAACACAGTTTGGCAGGAGCCAAGGTCAGGCACGTGCTGCTGTGGACTAGCTGCAGGATGGTCTCTCACACTGCGGATTTAGCAGCTCCAGGGAGGATTGTTGTTCCGTACTGTCAAGTCAGAACGAACTCCACTCACTCTCTAGTGGGTTTTCAGAAGCTGTAAATCACACAGGAGGAGAATGCCCATCTTTCTACCTGTGGATTTGAACTATGTGCTTTGGGATTGACAGCATGATTCCTTACCACTGCGCCACCAGAGCTCCCTGCCAGAGGACGTGGTGGTGGGTCTAGAGGGGTGGGGAGGAAAAATTAGCATTCATACTAGCTACAGCTAGTTTTGATATAATAATAGTTATCTGTGGTAAAAGAAACTCACACTGTTGCTTAAAATTCATAGTCTGATCATTGATTTTCTTATCTATTCCTTGTGTGTTATTTAAGAAAGCATATAGTGTGTTTCACTTGTAAGCAAAAAATGGAATTCTTGTTACTTTCTTGAGGCTAACTGTATGTATTACTAGCCAAGCATATATCAGGGCCTAGTCATTTTGACATTTTAAAATTTGAATAAAGTTATCATCCTCTGTACTCAAAATGGGGCTCCGCACACATTTAATGTGTAAAATGTTCTGTTACTGACTCTGAGTTACTGTTTTGTTGGTCAGGTGTCCATGTGCTGACTAGTGGATATAATAGTTCATAGATGTGATACCATAGATTTCTGATCACACTGAACTCTCCACTGTTCATTTTATTGTCTCATGGTTTATTCATGGATATAGCTGTATTTGTTATAGAAAAACTTCGAGACTTTCCCCAGGTGTGTGCTTAAAGCAATATGATAATTCTGATTTTTGAGGACATTTTTGACAGTCTGGGATCTAGCATCTTTGTGTGTGTGTGTGTGTGTGTGCGCGCGCGTGCGCGTGCACCATCAAATCAGATCTGACTGGTACAGGAGGAGATTGTCCCTCTTTCCCCGGCAGAGCATCTGGTGGATTCGAACCTTGCACCTCTGGGATTGTAGTTGCAGTTCCTTGCCACTAGGCCACCAGAGCTCCCCCGGGATCGAGCATCTTTAAATATCTGACTCAGAGCAAAGAAAAGAATCTCCCAAGTGATATGAAGATGATTGATTACTCTTATACTCCTACTGTTTTAGATTTTACTTAAATTATTAATCTGTAAACATTTAAAAAATTTTACAGTTTGTGGATATGTAATTTTCCGGTGTGCAAATTCCCAGAAAAATGCATTCCGGAAAGATCCCACCAATCCAAGGCTTGCACGTAAGTTTGGGTTTTTTGATTCTTTACCCTTCTATTTGTGTTATTTATATTATAGAAATACTTTATGTCCCTTTGTAGAGATGATTAAAGATTTGTTGTTTTTTTTTAAATGTAGATTTAAAAACGATTCATACATCAACGGGGAAAAATCTTCTTGTTTCTGGATGGTGGGGCTTTGTTCGACACCCCAATTACCTGGGTGACCTCATTATGGCGCTGGCTTGGTCCCTCCCATGTGGTAAGTATGTAAGAAGATGTGCTTTGGACTTTTAACTTTATGCACCTGGCAGGTGGACATTACCTTTGCTGGCATGCAGGGTTCTTGTGGTTCAGGTCTCTTGGCAGCAGGACCAGCTCCTCCCAGCCTGGGCCCCGCGTTCTTATTATCTGCAGCATCTTATTTAGCCAGCTTCTCTGGGCAGCTCCAGGCTCACAGAGCCCGAGGTTTTAACTTGAAGTTTATTTTGTTTTTATAAACATAATCACCAAATTTTAACTCTGCTCCTTAGCTTTTTTCTCTAAGCAGAATATACTTAACTTTGCCTTTGGCTCAGTATTAGTATACTGAAAACTTTGGTTCTTAAGGGGAAAAGAAAATGATGCTTTTATTTGTTTTTTTTCCTAGCCTGCTATGCCTCTGAAGTGTAGCTCCTGGCCTGTGGAGCCTGCTCTCAGCAGTAAAGAACAGTAGTTTTTGCTCTTCACTGAGGGTGGGAGAAGAAAGGGCGAGATTTGCATTTAATATAAAAACAAGGGCTCTGGTTGTGATGGGTTGCTGGATGGGATTAATCCATCTTCTCTCTATAGTTATTGATCCAGAGACCATCCTCCTGCCATACGCCAGTGGGATTCTTCTGTAATTTCGTTTGTTTTTCCTACTTAGGAAAATGAGATGATCTGAAGGTTTATCTTTGCAGTGTTGTGAGGAAAGCGAGAAGAACTTGGTATTGTGTAGTGATAATGAAGCGCTCATAGGCCACTTACCATTGTAATCCACAGGTTTTAACCATATCCTGCCTTACTTCTATGTCATCTACTTCACCATGTTGCTGATCCACCGAGAGGCTCGGGATGAACAGCACTGCAGGAAGAAGTACGGACTGGCTTGGGAGAAATACTGTCAGAGGGTGCCTTACCGCATATTCCCCTACGTTTACTAGTTCTCAGGAGGCAGAGTTTGAATGCCTCTCATCACCTAGTTTCCATTTGCAAAACCAAACCAAACCCAACCCCTAAATGAACCTTTTTTCATTGCACTGACAGAATCGGCAAGCTTCCTTTTCAAGGCAGGAATACAGAGCCTTTTAAGACTTTTAATAGAGCTGTGAGTATTTTTATTGAATTATAGCAGTTACTGTATAGGAAAAATATAAAGATGTCAGAAGCTTCATTTTTATAAGAAGTTCTTAATCCTTAAAAACCCTGAAACAGAAGAAATCTTCTTACATATTTACTGAATGACTTCTCAGATTTTTATGTTTCCATTCCTTAAATAGAAAACACCATTATATACTTTCAACTGCATTTTGTTTTTATTGTGCTAAGAGAACATATTTTTATTTTCTTTCCCTTTAATTAGATCATTTATTAGTTAAATGGTTTAAAAGTGGAAACAGGCCTATGTTGCATACTCTATGTAAAGAGATTGAAAGATGATTTTTATGGGAGACCATTTTTAACATTTTACTTCACCCACAACTGCTTTGAAAATGTAAATATGTGGCTTAATTTCATGTAATATATAATGATTTCAGATTTTTATGTATAGCATTTTAAATGTGAAATAATTCTGAGGGCTAAATATCTTTTAACCAAAATATTTTCAGTATTTTAAAGTTTTGTAAATTAACATTTTTGTGAGTTAAAAACTAGGAACAATTAAAATTCATTTAATATTGTACAGAAGATGCTATTAAAATATAGGAAAATATTTTCTTAATCCAAAGTTTGTGAATTTGGCTTTGCTACCTCAATTGCAGGAGTTTGCTTGCCTTTATAAACTGTTGCAAATAGGAAAAAAAAATAGGATAAGTATATATTTTTTGAGTAACATCAATATTTAAGCATTTTTACACATATTGGTGTTTGAAAAATCTGCCATTTCAGGCTACTATTTTTGTATGCTTTTGACTTTTTAAATTAAACATGTTTTTCTACTGTTCAATTAATACAGTTTATACTGTATTTTGTATATTATTTGTATTTACAAAACTTTACTTTTTATAAGGAAGTGTTGTATTCAACTTTAGACGCCTATTCATCTAAAAATAGTTCATTAAATATAATTCAAGGGAATAGTTTGAAAAGCTTCATTTAGTTCAGTAGATGTGCATATGAGGTAGCTCTAGCCATTAAGTCCTAGTTAAGTTGATACGGCTTCCTTCAGTGTCCTATAATGAGGATAGTAGCAAATTCACTAAACTTTTGTATTAAAAGTTGAATTGTTTTCAGGTTCTTAAACATAGGAGAATGTAACGATAGTGTACGTGTGGATTTTAATGATACATATGAGCCACTTACATAAGCAGTGTTTATTCTACACTGCAATTTGAAGTATATTTAATTTTGCTTTTATTGATGTGATCATGAAATTGGTTTGCTCTAGCATTCTGCAGCCTGTAGCCCTTGGTAAAATTGTCAGTGTCTGAATGGTGCTGATGCGTGCAGGACGTGCTTTGCCCCCTCCTCCAGGCCTTAGGAAGCGCTGCTTCCAGCACTGGGTTGACCGAAGAAGCTTCAGGAAAGGAGGGCCTTTGATTCGTTCCCTGGTAATGATAAGCACCTGCTATACCGTTACTAGATGACATCGGCTGCAATTTGTTTTTACTTTAGTTTTTCATGTTTATTTGACATGCAGAAGTTTTATAATGAAGGTTAAGCTTTGAAATAAAGTTGAAAACTGAAAGATGTTGCTTTGGTGGAGCCTCCTTATTCCTTCCTGGAACTTGGGGCGCAGGGACCAAGGCAGGAGCGCCAAGGCTGATCCCTGCCTCTCTCCCCAACACCCTGATTTGTTGAAATCATTTGTTCAACAATGGCAGCTGTTCCTGTAGGACAAAATTAAGTGAGTTTTGCCTCCAGAAACACACTTGGGTCTAGCTTGCAGACGCTTTAAGATGTTTTTTCAATGGAAAGAAAAGTCTAGTGAAGTAAAAAAAAACCCAAAAAACCCAACAACCTCTGTAAAAAAAAAAAAAAAAAAAAATTAAAAACCCCACAACCCAACAAGCTCTCTCTCGATTATTTAAAGTTGCAAATTATTTTTTTTTAAAGTTGCAAATTCTTAAAAGGTTTCGTTTTGGCTCAGAAGTCTACATTTAGATGAGTAGTGTGATATTTTTGGCAATGTATACTTAACAGTGACTCTACCTGTGTAAATTTCACTGTCTGTAATGGTGCAGAAGTCAAAAATGCTCCTTGTTCCTATGCTGGTCTTCTGGTTCTCCTTTGAGAAAAGGCAGACCTGCATTCTAGGTTGTGTTGATCTGTACTGGCTACATAGGTACCATGTACTAGTGGCTAGAACTGAAAAGCACCTTACATGTTGAGGATTTCATATGGCAGATGTTCTGCTTAATCGGGCAGAATGTCATTGTTTTTATGAAGAAGAGCTTACTACATGTCAATGTCTTGGGACACATAAGTCTGATGAAAGTCTAAAACTAAAATGGCTTGGTATTAAATTTATTTCTCAATCCTTCATCTCACATAGCAATGCAACCCTCATTTTGATCCAGTGATGGGGGGGTTTCCGCGTTGGTAAACACACTGCCCCTAAAAAGCTTGTGGACAGGCTGGTAGCTGTCAATATTCTTGACCTTTGATATGTCTGGTAAATGGGGCATTCATAAGTGAAGATTTCGGACGCAGTCTGGTTAGGAACATTTGCTGTTGGCGTAGAAATCTGAAACAAAAGAAAAGGAAATTTAGTTATCAAATGGCATAGCTCAGGCAAACCAGTAGCTCATTTTCTATGTGTAAGAGTTGGGGAGTTAGTTACAGGTGAAATCTGTTAGGGTTAAGGGGCTAGTGTGACTGCATATGGATATGATGTCTGGAGAATAGAAGTGGAGCCATCAAGGCTTTCAAGAACATATTACTGAGAAATAACGTGCTGTTAGTACAGCACTAGTTTTAGATTGGCATAAATCTTAGATTTGAACAGTACTGAGTTACTTGAAATGTCATTTTTTTTCTCAGTCATCCAGGTTTCCTTGTAACATTACAGGAAATGGGAACCAAAGGAGATGGCCTGTATTCCTGAAGGTTCAGGGCCTAGAAATAGGGATTACCTTTGTTGGCAAGAAGTAGATATCAGGGAAATGCCCACATATCTCACAAGGCAGCGAGTCATCAAGTATTCTTTGTTCGTGATTCCATCTTGCCCCATCAATGAACAAGCCGAAAATGTGAACTCCTTTATGGTGGAGGTCTGTGCCCTGCGATGAAGAGGGAGCTGTGAGTGGAGGGCACTACGCACGATGTCCTCAGTGGGCAGTTCCCCCTCCCCCTCTTCTAGGTTCATCCCTTCCTGAGGCGCCCAACAACAAAGCTGAAAAATGTCTGCTTTCCCTACTCTAGGCACTTCAACTTTGGTTTGCATGCTACGATTTATCTATGATGTTCCCTAGTTGACAACCATCAATTCCTAGCATTATAAACCTGTTGCTCTGTGCCATCATGCTGGATCTGACCCATAGCTGACCTCTAGTGGGTTTTCCGAGGCAGTAAATCTCATGGGAGGAGATTTCCTGTCCTTCTCCATGGAGCAGCTAGTGGATTAAAACTATGTGCCTTTGGGATTGCAGTGCAGCTTCTTACCACTAGGCTACCAGGGCTCCCTTAAAACCCTCTATAGCCCATCTTTAGAAGCAAGTGAGAACAGGCTAAAATACACTGTGTAAAATAGTCTTCTGCTACCCTCCACCACTGCAGCTACAATTAAAACACCCAGACCCCCAAACCCATGAATCCCACCTCAGGTAATCCCTTCCTCAGATGTTCCAGGCTGTAAGCTTTAATGTAGGGAGATGGGCCCTTTTTCTTCCGTGGGGCCACTGGGCCTAATAGATTGAGTGGTGTGAAATGGATTTCTAAGTGGTTTCTTCTGGTGCGTTCTGAGGACTAGAAAATGTAATTGCCAGCAGCTCCCCTGCTGGAGGACCCGTGTTGTGCTCCAGGAGAGTTTGTCTAGGACGGGGCCACCTGCGCATGACTTGGGAGTGACCTGCCGGTGATTCCTAACCAGAGGCCATGGGCAGTGAATACTGGCCTCCCTGTCCCCATGTCTAGTGCTGTGCTCGGTGACACTGTGCTCTCCGTTTTGGGACATGTCTGTCCCTGGAGGTATAACCTCAGTTCATAAAATTCTGAAACCCATTGCTGTCAAATCGGAACCAAGCCAGCTGACTCTTGAGCGAGTTTGCAGAGGATGCAAACCACATGGGAGGAGATTACCCATCTTTCTCCTGCGGAGAAGCTGAGGTATTTAAACTGCATGCCTTCTGGTTGGCAGGGCAGTGTCTTACCACTTGGTCACCAGAGCTCCCTACAATGTCATGTATATTTTTTTCCTAGTGTTGTCCTTGTATGTAAATCTTGGAGGAAGTTCATGTGGCACGTTTAAAAATGTGACTTGGATTTATAAATGACACTTGGCCTCTTTTCTAAAAAAATCCCGAAAACATAAAACCAAACCAAAACAACAGCACTAACATGGTTGTGCATACATCTGTTTGGGTGGCAAGTCTAGTTTCTTTAGGGTATAGTCCCAGTAATGCAACTGATAGATCAAATAGTATTTTTTAAAAAAAATTATTATTTTATTAGTTTTAATGAACAGTTACAGAGATTTTGGGTTTTCATTCATTCATTGTTGCACTGTTTTCTCTACCTTCCTCCCCAGTTCATTCTTCTTCCTTCCCCCCTCGAATGTCTGTTTTAATTGTCCAATTGCCACAGTGCTTGTCAAAGCCAGTTCTGATTAACCACCTTTGTCAGTGTGTCCTGTGCCATTCCCTATCACTCCTCCCTGAGAGAGACTTCACCCTGATTCATGAGGAAAAGGGGATGGCATATTCTCTTAGCTACTTCCTGCTGAAAAGGGACGCTGTGGGTTTCAGGGTGGAGATCTCTCACTACTCTAAAGGGCCCTTTTGGC